TGCAAAATATTACCGATACATCAATAAAATATGAAGTACAATATTCTAAATGTAGAAACAACATTTGATACATAAATCACCCATCAGCAAAACTTCATGTGTAGTAGTATATCAATATATAAAAAATTCTTTGAACAGAGTGGAATTCTCTTAACACTTTAAAAGGAATTTCTGTATCAGTTATGGTATTGAGTGAAGCACCAAAACAACGAATCTGTTAAAGGTAGATACATTTTTCATGTTGTTTCCAGAGTCTTTGAATGTCTGATTTATTTCATAGCTACTTACTAATTGTTTAAATAACTATATCAAGTATTAAGTTATATGTTTAATAAGAGCTATTAGTTTAGGAATTCATATATGACGGCTATGAAAACAATCATTTAAATAAATTATCTTAAAAGTAACTAAAGTTTGTCAATTTGGGGTGACATAAAATAGTGTTATGAGGGGACCTTTATGTTTTGAAAGTTTAAGAGTTTTCCACTTCATGATAATTCTATTTCTAGATTATTTATGGAGCTAAAAGAGTTTAAAGAGGTAGTTTCTAAAACTAATTTCAAAATTAGATGACTTCAAATCAAAGCTGAACATATTAGAATCAACTCAAGAGCATGTGCCTCAAATTATTAAATTGTGCATTATATGAACATCAATTACTAAACAGACTATTGAAGCACATAAAAGAAAACACCCATTACCAACATAGTAGATATTAAATTAACAACCTGATATTTTAATTTATTACAAGACTCTTATTCCCATAATCCATATTATACATATTCCACTAGTATCATCACCAATGAAATAAACCAGTGGTCACACATTTAAAAACCTTCCCTTTGGTGGTCAAATTATAAGATAGCAAAATACTTGGCGCAGATTTTACATAATTGGTTTCCTCTTTAAAATCACTTTAGCTAGTAATTTCATTGATTCAACAGTATGAGTAAATCAATGAAAATAATTTTTAAAAATAAAAGTTAACTGAAAATTGAAACATCCCAAGTCACTTCAGTTGCAATTGCAAGCAAATGCAGTTATTTCAAAGGAATCCTGTTACCTTCATCTATTCCATAGCTTTCTGTATTGCAATTGAGAGAAAAAAATTGAAGACCTTGCTTAGAAATAACTAATAGCAATTAGGTTAACAACAACAAAATAGGAGAGTACATTTTACTAACATTTACTTTATTAAATATTTTAAGTACAAACAAGAGTAAAAAAGAGAACTAAATGCAAATAAAAACTATCGTTAAATTAACTCACTGTTAGGTAAGTAATTTTTTTATAACTATTTCATAAATTCCTAATTAACTCATTTTGTGAGATTTGGATAAAAGGTAGCTTTCTAAGGAATTTATTATTGAACTAGGAACAATAAATATAAAAACACAAATGTGGATTCTCTGCAGGAATGTAGAAATAACTAAATGGCTTATCAACCTCTCTCCTTTAAAAAACAAAACCCAAAACTAAAACTTAAGTTTAAACATTTGTCCAAATTGCCACTGGTAGTCAAAACGCATACACTCAATTTTCAACTCTTGCCTGGGTTACACTCACTCTCTGATAAAGAACTCTTGAAAATTCACAATGGGCCTAAACTGGAAAACATACCAGAGGCCTGGTTGTTTCTCCTTATTTTGGTTGTGTCTCACTGTACACATCCAAATAATAATGCTTTTAAAAGTTTTTAAACAATAAAAAGCTTAGTATTTCAGCTCTACTGAAATTGGTACATTCAAATTACTAAGAATATTGAAACTTTTAAGAGGTGGAGTTAAAACGAAATTTCAAGGGCTTATCCAATTCAAGATCTGGGGTATCAGATTCTCCTCTGCCAGCTAGCTGCACTGTAACAGCAAGAAGAGCACCATAACATTTTCAGGCCATTTAGGGGTCATCTAAGGCATCTGTCCCTATCCTCCTCCTACTGTAGTCTAAGGACTGAAAGCTAGAAGCTGTTTGCATAGGTGAGTCAGTGACAGTACTAAATAATTTCAAGGGAGAAATGCAATTCTTGTGTGTGCACATGTTTAAAAGCACAAATTTTCAACAGAGGGAAAATAATATCATCACAGAGCCAGAAAATAAGATTACAAAAATCTTATAACTCAACTATATTAATTATTATAGGCATTTGTATTTTAGACTTCTCATCTTTGAGTGGAGACATATAGAATGCTAAAGATTGAGAAGAACACTTTGGTTAAGCACCCACTGAGGTTCTTAAAGCATAATGAATATCTAAAACTTTTATATATGAGGGGCTATCCATCAAATCTGAGCAAGAACAAAATCAGAAGTCTACTTACTTGAAGGCATCGTATAAGTATCTTCTTCATCTATAATCTCAGCATAATCATCTGTTTCTGTAAAAAAAGGGAACATATATTGGTACAGGTTAAGTAATTGACATCTTAGCCTCTATTCATTTTAAAAGGCAAGTTAATCTACCTAACACCTTACTATGCTGAAATATTCTTAAAATCCTACTACTTGGGGTTGGGGATTTAGTTCAGCAGCCTAAGTGCCTGCCTTGCAAGCTCATGCTCATGAGTTCGATCCCCGGTACTGGTACAAAAAAAAAAAAAAAAAAAAAAAAAAAAAAAAAAAATCAAAAAACTATTACTAATTTTTGCTCACTAGAATCATTTATGAGAATAAAAGTGACATCACTGTCCAACATGTTATAATACACAGGTTGTTTATCAGACAGCAAATAGGCGAACACAGTAAGCTCTTATAAAAAACAGAAAGACATGAAATACTTATGTGTAGGATTCAAAATGACCCATCTATACAAAATGTAGAACTTTCATTCAGCTATAACAAATACATGGCTAAAACCACATCGTAGCCTACTGGAATCTCTTTAAACAGGACAGGAATCTTTAAAACTCAGTATGATTTTATTAATTACTAGACTTCACAGCATAACCCAAAAATTCTTCAGAGAACAAATGATGGCCCAATTCTTGAAGAGATTAACTGGGCTGATTTACTTCATTTATTCATAGCTGAAGATTAAAATCCTATTAAGATAGCAAGAGGCAGTATGGTAACCATTGTTGATCACCTAGTATTTTGTTTTTATATTATCTATTATGTCCGTCCTTTTGATTTGACTGACTCTGTTCTGCTATGTCACATTTGGTTTTACTATCTTCAAAAAAAGTAATAAGAACTGTGGGAGTAGTAAAACCCAAAACATGTAATTGTCATTGTACAAAAGAAAGGAAAAGAAAGTGCTCTAAAGGATATAACTGCATATATATTTAAGTGTATAAGATAGATAACCATATTACTGAGTTTTATTGGATCACTGAACTTCAGTTTCACTGTTTGAAAGTCCACTTTATATGCTTTAATTTTGTAACCTGAACAACTATTTCTAAGATAACAATATGTAATCTATTAACTAGTGATTTCCTACTGTTCATTTTTTCTGAAATTCTGTATAACTTGTACCCTTTTTCTGTTTTTTTTCTTTTTCTCCTTAAATAAAAATTAAAAAAAATATTAAAATCCTGGAATTAACCTTTTGTAACTTTTTAACTCAGATATTTGAAGAGTATATATTCATGTCAAAAATGTAAAAGGATTTATCAAAAAGAATAAAATAAAAAAGCAGTGTATTAAATCAGTTATTTTTGAGATACTGTAATATCAAGGAGTTTCAAAGCTTCCATTTAATCCCTTTTGGTAATACAATAACTTTAAAATCCACCACTGCATTAGTGGAAGATTAAAAAAATGAAAAAACCCAAACTCCTTTGAAGAAAACAATCATACCTCTGAACAATATTTATGCTAGAAAATCATAAATTCAGTTTGTGTTCCTCTCTGTGAATAAAGGAGAACCTTTAGCAGCTCTGTTTGTAAGGCAGGCCTATGTGGCTAGGCCTTTCATTTCTGGGGTCATTAAGTTCCTTCTGACAGCTGATTTGACTTGTCAACTTAACCCTGGAGGAACTAACAGCATTACTTCTTCATTCAGACACTAAAGGTACAGAAGCCAAAGGAAAGACAGAATGTGTATCTTTCTCAGTCATTATGATATTAATTGCTGCACAAGCTATGATGGTGATGATTGATATTAAACTTGTCACTGGAAGAATTTGTGTAATCATTATCAAATGTGATTAAAGTCTGCTACAATGAATATACTTAATATGCATCAAAAACAAATGCTAGAAAACAGTTCTTAAGACATTCATCACCTATAAAGTATTCTTAAGTCCTACACAACTGGGATACTATATGTTTATTTTCTATATGCTTATAAGTAACATTACCTATAGAATTAAAGAAAAAAATTTAAACTTTATATTCTCTTATGTTCATATTTGTTTCTCTTATCCTCTTCTCTGTGAACACCAAGAAAGGAAATTTGGCATTACATAGGCCTACAGCTTTGCTTTTGTGTAAGAGTTTATCAAAATAACTTCTGAATAAAAAGTGGGGAGCTGTGCAGGCACCTGAGGAAACAAAAACAGCATGGAGGAATGTACTCTAATAGCTAAGACAACAGTAGCCACATAAACCACAAATGGAGGTGTACTTAACATTTTCTTCTTATTCTGTAATTTAGCAGGCTCAGCTTCACAATACTCCTCTCAGAAAACAAATGCAACCATGGTTGCACTTCCATAATCATTGGCTTCAGTTCCCTTCCTGGCTCCTTTCATGTGGAAAGTACATGCCTTTGGCTGACCCTAGTGGACAGGGTTCTTCCTGGGAAAGGTATTCAGACTTCCGACATATGCTTCTTACATATGCTGCTGTGCTGCCGTTAAACTGTTCCTGGGACTTGAACAGCTCTGCACTTGGTGCTGAGTTTGACTCATTAGGCATTTCAGGTAACATACCACAAGCACTACAGCTTCACAGGGCTGCAGGGGATCTCTCCAACTTATCCAGAAACTCAATATCAGGTGTTTACTGCCTGCACAAAGAAGGGTATGAAACATGATGACAGCAATAGCAGTGACCTTGTGTCCTGGCCTTATGTTTGTGCTCCCCTTTGCTCAGCTGTGACAGGGCAGTCTGTCAGGACGTACAGCAATTTCCCTCTCAGTTTAGGAGGGCTGTCCTAAGAATAGGGCTGGCTCTTAAAGGCACGAGAGGACAATTTAAGATGAAAAAAAAAAAAAAAAAAAAATAGCAGTGACCTCAGACCCAGAGCAAACTATGAGTTGACGCTGACTCACAGAAAAAGTGCCACTCTTCAGAAACCTCCCCTCAAACTAATTTGTCCCATCCCCTCTGCTCTTAATTGTGCTCCCTCATTTATTGTCCCCATTGCCTATATATGTCACATTATTCTGCTTTCCTTGTTATATGTCTATTTACTTCTCCAGAACAGAATGTCTGCTAGAGAACCCTCATATACCTTCATTAACATCTAAAATATCACCTGGCATAGAAGATGGGACTCAAGAGACAAAGTGACAAAGATGACTGCATTGCAGCAGTACACTAATAGGATGATGTATCCCCAGACTCTGAGGCATCAGGACATAAAATATCTGTGAAGGTGGCACAGATAATAAATAGTAGAGCTGGTCCTGTACACAGAACAAGCCATATAAACACACATTTGATCTTTGAGAAATCATTTCATTTAGCTATGCTTTTGTTGTGACCACATATGTAAAATAAGCATCATCAGTCTATGGGGTTGTTATGAGGATTATAGGAGACACATCAAGTTGAGATGTTTCCTTGCACATGACGGATAATCAAGAGATAGAAGCTCCTGTCTTGCTTGCTTCTTATGTGAGCTTTCTTGGAAGGGACCCTGAGTTCAGGGGTTGAGATTCATGTGTGCTGATCCTTTTAGTCAGTCTTGGTTTGACTGACTGTTTAAGAACTGTTATATCAGATATCAAATGGAGATACAACCCCTGAAACAATTCTGAAGGAATAAAAAGAAAATGCTTAATGTATGTCAGTCTAGCTTACAATACTGATTTGGGAAGAATCGTATTGATTAATTTCTATTCATAAAATCATTGGAAAGGACTGTTTACCTTTTAAAAGAGCTATGTGAGTTCCATCTAGAACCTGGGGAAAAGTGGTCTGGCAATCAATATTTGGGGCCAGGAATGCATACTGTAATGTGGACAGAATTTTACTGCAATGAATTTTATGGATTGGCTCTTATGGCAGAGTGCACAATGCTGAAGGTACATGGATCTATGAAGATTTAAAACCTTCTACTTATGAGTTCCACAGGGCAATTACCTAATCTACCTTTATGCCTATCTCTTCTCTCTCTCTGTGCGTGTGTGAGTCTGTGTCTGTTTGTCTGTGTCTCTGTACAAGCTCAAAGGACCTTAAGCATGCAAGGGAAGTGTTCTTCCACTGAGTATGTTCCTAGTCTCCCAAGAAGTTTTTTTATTGCATTAGTTCAATTTTGTCCTTTCCTAACTTTTATGATTGTAAATAAGCATGACCCCGATATGAGAGGTATTTTAACCTACTCGAGGATACTGAAAAATTGGAGCCCAGTCTAAAACTGCCCCTTCCTCTCTAAAACAGTGTCACTATGAAAGATTAAGAAAAAAAATTATTTGAAAGATCTGGGTATAGATGAAGAAGGTAGATCTGCATTCTCCATTTAATGATGATGACAATGGGACTGTGAATTTATTATATGGTAGATAGTGTTATAAACAATTACATATGTTGTAGTTTGATCTTTAGCATAATTTCCTGAAGAGGTACTACTATCATCCTCCCTGTTTCACAGTCAGGAAGGCTAAGGCACAAAGATGTGTAGTTTTTTTAAAATCCCAGAGCCATTCAATGGCAAGCTGGAATTCAGCACAGTTTTCTAGCACAGAACCTGAGTTTTGAGATACTATTTCATTCTTTATCATTTTTCACAAAACATATGCAACTTTTATTTGATAGAGCAGATACTTTTTGCTTTGGAAATACCAAACGTTCCTCAAAATATATTTTGGGAAAAATTTTCCCTTAACAAGGGCAGAATTTTGCTCCAGGGATGCTTACAGGAAGGCTCATCTAAACCTGTAAATCTGGAAGAGGACTGCAAGGTGCTTGCTGCACGAGTTAAAGATTTAAAATAAAACATAAAAATCTGGATGCCTGTAGCACATGCCTGTATGCTCAGCTATGCAAGAGCCCTCAGGCCCAGGACTTCAAGGCCAGGCTAGGCAATATGGTAAGACTCAAACAAACAAACAAACAAACAACAACAACAAAAATATTTAAAAAGGAGATGTTCAAAATTTGGATAGCATAATGTGAATGGTATGGTAAAAGACTTATTAAAGGGACAGAAACTAACAGCTCACAAAATAATAGGGAACAACAACAAAAACGGAGAAAATAGTTACTGCATTTTTATTTTAAAGCAAATTAAACTGCTGAGGATTTAGCTCAGCAGCATAAGTGCCTGCCTGCAAAGCTTGAGGTAGTGAGTTCAATCCCCGATGTCAAATAAATAAATAAAGTAAAGTAAAAAGAGACATGAAGTTACTACTGAAATTATGAACAGAATTCAATATGAAAGATTCATGTTTTGTCTTTAAAGGGCCTGATGCCTCTGTAGGCACTGTGCAAAGTGTCTATCTGGCATTTGGGGAATGTGGGTAGGTAGAAAATAAATGAGTATTTCTCGGTTTATAATTTTTTTTTTTTGTACCAGGGGTGGAACTCACAACCGTGATATTGCAAGGCAGGCACTTATGCTGCTGAGCTAAATCGCTGGCCACTGGATTGCAAATTCTAAGAACGGTATATAAGATCCTTCAAGCTCAAAACCTTGCCAGGTAAATAACCAACACAATATTTCATGCATGAGGCAGAGTGATTCTGGTTGTGCTTCTCCTTTCTTCTTCCTAGTAGCATCTGTGTTCTGGTGTGGATATCAGCAATTCCGACAATTTGTTCCCTTGACTTGCTTCCCTGATGCTCCTCAGAGAGATGGGGACTATTCAGGGGGGTAGTCCCTTTATAAGTGACTAGATTATTCAGGTAATTCTTCAACTAATTTTAGTCTTTTAATGCAACCTGGATAACCTAGATATGTCATAAACTTCACAGTACCGTGATGTAGTACTTTTTAGAAGCCAAGTTCCTGACCTCAACTTTGCTCTGTAATGTTAACTAGCTATGTGAATTAGACTAGAGATTGGCACACATTTTTTGTAAATTTTGAAAGACTGTGCTGGCCATACAATCTTTCTGGCAGCTACTTAGCTTTGTTGTTCAAATTACAGCCTAGAAACAGCCACAGACACCATGTAAACAAATGGATTGGTGGGGGATATGTTCCAACAGAACTTTACCGATGCATACTGATGTCTGGACTTCATATAATTTTGATTATTACAAATAGTGGTTTGCTTTTGACGTTTTCCCCTCAACCATTAAAAACGTGAAAACACTGCTAGCTCAAGAGGCAACAGCAGAAAATGTAGGCCATTAGGTCCACAGGCTTTACTTTATGAATCATGACCAAGATCAAGTGAGTAAAACTTAAAGGCTCAGTTATTCACTTGTGAGATGGGGCAAGTATACTTGTCCTGGCTGCTCATTCACAGAACTGGGAAATTCAATTGGGGGAAATGCGTGAAAAGCTTAGATTCTATGAACATGTGGTAAAGGTGTATATTTAAATTTTTATGTTTCATAGTAACTCTCACAACAATCAAGTCAGCACTTTTCCAGAAGGAGATACAGTGAGTACAGCAATGTGCTTGAGGCCACTCAATAGCTATTAACAGGACAGGGCAGTTGGTAAGAGTTAGGCTGAAGCCCAAGACCTAAATACTCTTCTCTGATCAGTTGTTTTCTCAACTGCAAAATAATACTCCCCTAATGATACTCTCAAAGGATTTAGGAGAGTGAGGAATCTAGGAGGTAAGACACTCACACAGGAGGCTATCAAAGAACAGCAGTTGCTAATTTGTTATCATCAAGGAATCAATGTGGAAAGTGTGTTCAAACCTGGTTTCAGATCCTGTGAAAAATAAGTACTTTCTAAGTCATATTTAGTTAAGATCTTTTACTGCATAGCTTTGCTCATTCCATTCAGGTTATCAATCGCTGTCATATCAAGAAATGAACAGAAGTGAAAGCTTCAGTGAAAGTATTCTTTCAATCATGAAGGGAAAATATGCAGCCCTCTTATTTCAGTTTATAAAATTTTCTCCTTTGGTGTAAATGAGTATAAAGGTTCATGAAGACAGTTCATGAACTAAGTGAGAAACATGAACTAAGTGAGAAACATAAGAAACTAAATGTGATTTAAAAATATGCCATCTTGTGAAGTGCTGTCAACTGTTTGAAAAAATCATTATTGCTGAAATTTCCTTAATGTCAGTTTGCTTGACTCTTAAGAATCACTTTTAATTTATATAGTATGTATGTGCCTGTTTATATTTTTGAAAAAAATTATCATTTCCAGGTATAATTTGGCTGAAATACCATTTTGACAACTTCTTGAAACACTAAAGATTAAACAATGATATCTAGAAAATTTACTGTGAACACACAATTCAAATTTACTTCTGTGATGTTATTCCTTTTGTGTCAAAGCTCCGCCTAAATGATTTTAAAAAGAGCATTTTCTCATAGTATTTTCTACTTAGCTCTGTTGAACCAAAACCACATTTTGCTTTTGATTAAATACTGAACTGTATTTCCATAAATAGTTATCTCACAGCAAATAACACAAATGTGAAAATAAATATTACCGTCCCCACTAATTTCATCTGTAGATCCAGGTCGCATGCAAAGAAAGGGGGAATAGGGAACAGACAGAAAGAGACAGAAAAAAGGAAAGAGAAAGGAAACACACTATTAAAATGACAAGTAAATCAAAGCATCAGAAAAATAACAAAATTACCCCCCAAACTCTAATTCAAAAGATAAAAGAAAGATTTCAGTAATAGAAATATCTGCTTAAAGACTATTATGCTAAGTTTTAATGTTCCAATATTTTATATGATGTTATATAGAGGTACCGTGGTGTTTAGTTTCTAACACTGAGGAAAATTAATTTGTTTCTCACAATTAAATGTTAAAAATGGCTTCTGCCTTGCTCACAGAAAATTTGTGTACTCTTAGGTAAAAAGAAAATAAACTAATCACTAAT